GGGAACAGGGTCTGTGGGGTGTAGGCGGGGGACACAGGATCTCTGGGGCATGGGAGGTGTGGCGATGCAAGCTCAGTGGGCCATGGAGGGGAACAGAGACTGGGTTGGGCATGGGGCTGGGGGGTGAGGGGTGGAAGAGAGAGTCTGTGGGGCGCGGGTAGGACAGGAGTGGAAGAGGCTGAATGGGGCATGGGGGTAAGGGGACCCAGGCCCTGTAGGGTGGGGGAGACACAGGCTCCCTAAGTGTGTGTGGGTTTACGAGGCTCCACAGGGCATGGAGGGACCGAGGCTCCGTGGCATGTGGGTCTGGTGGTTGAGCTGCCTGGGAGCTGCCTGGGGTCGAGGGCCCCGAGGGAGGTGTGGAGGGACTGAGGGTCCTAGGCTGCAGGTGTCGCAGAGGGTTTGAGATTGGGGACCCAGGAGGAGGGTCCCGGGGGCTTGGGCGGCCCGAGCTGCAGACACTGACGCTGTGCAGACGCCTCCTGGTCCTCAGAGATGGGCCCGGTCAAGGCCCACGAGGTCAGGAGTTGGAGACGAGCCTTTGTCCCCGGGCTGCTGTAACAGGTACGGCAAACCGAGAGCTTAAAACAGCAGAAGTGTACTCCCTCCCAGTTCCGAATGCCCCGATGGTGTCATTTCTTAAATGTGTCTGGCCTTGGTGGATCTCGGTATTTTCTGTGGGAATTGTCTTGTCCGATGGAGCCACCTTGGTCTCCAGATAGGCCATGGGGCTGGGGACCTGGGCCCCTCACTGGGCACCTGGCAGGAGCTGCTCTGGGCTGACCCCAGCTGACCCCGGGTGTAGGAATTATCATATGTGTAGGGTGAACACACCAGCCACACGCTTCCTCCAAGGGCGCATTTATGGATCCACGAACCTATGCATGGCTTCTGGTTGGTGAGATACAGTAGCTTCCTTCATGCAAGGTTTCACTTTTATTTTTATTATTATTATTTTTTGAGACAGGGTCAGCCAGAATTCTATCCCCAGAGCCCCTAGGAGACCCTGGCTAAAGGGAGCCTCCAATGCTCCGGCTGGCCCTGGCTTCTGGGGAGAAGTGGTGGAGGTCTGCAGGGAGAACCCTGGGACCCTCGTGTCCCCAGACCAGGCATGGCCAGCGGGAAGCTCAGGGCAGGGGCACTCAGGGGAGCAGGTGCTGCTCAGAGACTTGGCGGCCCCCACTCTGCTCACAGGACACCTGCCTGCAACATCCCGCGCCCCAGCGCAGAACTCCAGCCTTTTCCACAGCTGAACTCTGACCTGCCGCAGAGCCTGCTGCCGAGAGGCCGGGAAGAGGCAACCCTCCCAGGAGACCAAACAAGGTGGGTTCCTCAGTGGTGGGCACCACGCGGGACGTTCCAGGACCTCCGCGGCGGTTCCCGGGAAACCAGCCGGGTGCACCATCCAAGCAGAGCTGCAGAAGCAACCAGGAGCTCCCCAGGAGATGAACAGATGAACAGATTCAGAACACCCGGCGCACGCATGAGGACACACACGGCATGGGAAACACACATGGGAGGGTGCACACGGGAGGCACTCCCAGGAGGGTGAACACAGGAGGATGCACACAGGAGGGCACGCGGGAGGACGCACACAGGGCACAGGACACTGCTTGCCAGGGGCTGGAGACGCGGCGTGGCAGAGGCTAATAAAAGCAGGGGATCCTGGCCAGGCGCGGGGGCTCACGCCTGTCATCCCAGCACTTTGGGAGGCCGAGGAGGGCGGATCACTTGAGGTCAGGAGTTCCAGACCAGCCTGGCCAACATGGCAAAAGCTCATTTCTACTTAAAACAAAAAATTATGGAGGCGTGTGGTACACACCTGTTGTCCCAGCTACTCGGGAGACTGAGGCAGGAGAATTGCTTGAACCCAGGAGGGGGAGGCTGCAGTGAGCTGAGATCACACTGCTGCACTCCAGCCTGGACGACAGAGCGAGACTCTATCAAAAAAAAAAAAGAAAAGAAAAAAGCAGAGGATCCTGTGGAGGCGACGAGAACATCCTGGAACGAGACACAGGCACGGGTTACACCACACTGTGCTGCACAGAAAGGCACTCAGTTGGGCACTTTGCAGAGCTGCAGAGCCGGGCCCTGAAGCTCCCAGTCCGTGCACGTCCCCTCTGCAGGCCCCGGTCATCATGGAGTCCCCCCAGTTGGGCACTTGCAGCTGCGGGGCCTCAGCTCCCCAGTCCGTGCACGCCCTCTGCAGGCCCCGGTCATCATGGAGTCCCCCGGGTCTGCTCAACATGGAGTCACTCAGCCCCGCTCAAGATGGAGTCACTAAGCCCTGCTCAAGATGGAGTCACTAGGCCCCATTCATCATGGAGTCGCCCAGGCCGCTGCTTCAACATGTGGAGCGCCCAGGCCCCGTTCATCATGGAGTCGCCCAGGCCCCGCTCATCATGGAGTCGCCAGGCCCCGCCTACTGCGGAGCCAGCCCAGGCCCCGCTCATCATGGAGCGCCAGGCCCCGCTCACCATGGAGTCACTGGGCCTCGCGTTCAAGATGAGTCACCAGGCCCCGCTCAACATGGAGTCGCCAGGCCGCGCTCAACATGGAGTCGCCCAGGCCCCGCTCAAGATGAAGTCACTCAGGCCCTGCCATCATGAGCCGCCCAGGCCCTGTTCATCATGGAGTCACTCTCAGGCCCCGCTTCAAGATGGAGGCCACCAGGCCCCGTTCAACATGGAGTCAGCTAGGCCCTTCATCAAGGAGTCACTCAGGCCCTGCTCATCATGGAGTCACTCAGGCCCCGCTCAAGATGTGGAGTCGCCCAGGCCCCGTTCATCATAGAGTCACTGGCCCCGCTCAAGATGGAGTCACTCAGGCCCCATTCATCATGGGGTCAGCCAGGCCCTTCATCATGGAGTCGCTGGCCCCGCTCAACATGTGAGAGTCGCCGGCCCCCGCTCAACATGGAGTCAGCCAGCCCTGCTCATCATGGAGGCAGGAGTCACTCAGGCCCCGTTCATCATGGAGTCACTCAGGCCCTGTTCAAGATGGAGTCGCTCTTGTTCCAACGCCTCTGACAGGTTTTCACGGTGTAAGTCGTGGCTTCTTAATGAGCAACATGAATGGTGACATTGGAGTCTCCACTGTTGACAAAAAAGCCAAACTGTAAAATATTTGAGTAGATTTTCTCCGAGCCAAATGTACAAGTGACCCTGGCCCACGACAAATGTAGAAGTAACTTCGGGAGCCTCAGGAGGGTCTGAGAACACGTGCCCTGGTTGGCTGGGTTCCAGCCTGATTTTATACATTCTGGGGAGACAGAAGTTATAAGCAGAGGCATAAACCAGTGTAGGGAAGGTGCACATTGGTTCTGCCCCGAGACGAAGTCTCTCAAAGTGCAGACTTGTAAGTCATGGGTGGATTTTAAAGACACCCTAATTGGCAATTGGCTGAAACAGTTAAGCTTTGCCTGAAAACTTGACGTCAGCATGAAGAAATGTTTGAGTTTAGATGAGGAGTTTTAGAAGGCAAATTTCCCCCACAACAGACGGCTTCGAGGGCCATTTTGAAGTACGTGAAAGAAATGTGTTACGGCGTAAAAGACTTTGACGTATTTTAACGCCTGCTCTCTGTCATGCGATGCTATACTGTAGCCGGACGAGCCGCAGACAAAACTCCTCAGACACCGGATTAAAGAAGGAAGAGGTTTTTTATTCGGCCGGGAGCGTCGGCAGACTCGCGTCTTAAGAGCCCAGCTCCCTGAAGAAGAAATACGTGGCCTTTTTAAAGGTTTACAATGTTAAGGGATCCATGTAAAAGGGCCGTGATAAATCAAGCAAGTGTGGAAAACGTGATGGGGGGTACATGCATCAGCTAACAGAACAAAAAGTTTTCCAGTGCTTTCTCATACAATGTCGGGAATTTACAGATAACACTAGTAGTTTTGGTCAGAGGTTAATAATATTATTATTATTTTAACCACCAGGGCCAGGTGGTGGCGCCAAGGTCATGTAGCTATTTATCTTCTGTTTCTTTCCAAGTTTTTGCTTTCTCCCCCTTCTCCTGTCTTATAAACTAGGGAAAAGGGGAGACGGGGAAAAGCTGGGAAGGACAACAGGAGAAGTGGTGGTCTCATTCTATAATACTGGAATCCGGTTGGAATTTGATATCTTATTGCTACAAGGAGTCCGTTGTGCCCACGTTATGATCTCTGTTTTCACGCGAATGCTGGTCAGTTGTGCCTGAGTTCCAAAGGGAGGAGGGTATCACGAGGCCTGTCTGACTCCCTCTTCCTGTCACAGCCTGAGCTACCTTTTCAGGTTCCTTTGGGATCCCCTTGGCCAAAAAGGGGGTCCATTCAGTCAGCTGAGGAGCTTAGAATTCTATGTTTGGTTTACACCAGTATCAGGAGGTTGTCTGAGAGACACCAGCCCCTCCCACCCCTGCAGGCAGAGGCTGTAAAGCATCAGACCCCAGGCAGGCTGGCACTCAGGTGCAGGCCGGCGCTCAGGTGCAGGACGCTCAGGCCACGGCCACAGGGATGGTCCAGACGTGGCTCTCCAGCCGTCCTCGGACTACACACTGATTGAGGATTTCGGGGGTCCCGATGCAGACTCTAAAGGTTGCCAGTCTGGTCTCTATCTGCCCTTAATGACACCTACACTCCCAGGATCCTGCAGAACAGGGTGTGTGTATTTTCTGGGGCCGCTCCAGCAAACAGGGCTTAAAAGATATTTATCCTCACGGTGCTGGGGGCAGAAGTCAGAGGGCCGTGCTCCCTCTCGAGGCTCTAGGGAAGGCTCCTTCCTGCCTCTCCCAGCTCCTTGGGGGCTCCAGGCATCCCTGGGCGTGTGGCTGCCTCCCTCCAGTCCCCGCCTCTGTCTCCATGGGGCCTTCTCTCTGTGCGTTTTCCGTCTTTCCCCTTCTCCGGTAAGGACACCACGCATTGGATTTATAGCCTGCCCTACTCCTGGATGACCTCTTCTCGGCTTGATTACATCTGCAAGTATCCTGTTTCCAAATCAGGTCCTGTATCTTTTGGGGGTATCTTTAGGGCTTGTTTGCAAACGAGGCACTTGGCAGGATCTGGCCTGAGACTTGCTTTTACGGCTCTCTAACTTGCACCATCTTCACGTGATTTTCCAGAGCACCCATGGGCGGCGTGTTGGCCCGCACAGAGCCCTGCTTGCTGTGAACGTCAGGACTTCCTGCGGGATCTCTTCAAGTCTGATCGGAAGCCCTTTGACTTGCGCCCTGACTGTGCTGGAGAATTCAGAGCCGGCTGGCTCCTTGCTTGTGGCCTGGGAGATTTGTGGAGAACACGCTGTACTTTCAAGATGCCGCCTGGATCTTCCAGCTCCCTCCCTCGGGAGCCTCGCAGGGACGCCGTCTTGTTTTAACGTTTCAGTACAGCACCCACGAGAACTGCTGGGGAAGGGAAGACACCACAGGCCATAAACCACAGAAACTAGGGCCGAAGTGGCCCCCAGGTGGCCTTCAGTCAAGCGGTATCCAGATTCTTCACCCTGAGGCACTTTACCTTATTTATTATTATTATTATTATTATTATTATTGGACACGGCGTTTCACTCTTGCTGCCCAGGCTGGAGTGCAGTGGTGTGATCTCAGCTCACTGCAACCTCTGCCTCCCGGGTTCAAGCTATTGTCCTGCCTCAGCCTCCCCAGTTGCTGGGATCACAGGCTCCCATCACCACACCTGGCTAATTTTTTGTATTTTTAGAGACAGGGTTTCTCCATGTGGGTCAGGTTGGCCTCGAACTCCCAATGTCAGGAGATCCGCCCACCTTGGCCTCCCACAGTGCTGGTGCAGGGGCCTTTGAAAACAGTATGCTGAGAATAGATAGGGCTCAAGGACAGTATCTCCAACTGAACTTTTAATGAACTCCCGTAGGCGCCAAGAAGGCGGGTAGATAAGAAAGAATATAGAAACAAGGTACTGAGTAGAAGGTTACATGTGGGAAAAGAAAGTTTGTTTTGCATTGCATTCTTTCTGCTGACCTGAGGTTTATGGAGTATAAATAAAGTGAGGCGGAGGCTCTGAGCGCGGCCGCCATGTTCTCTGTGTGTCTTTGTCTTTGTGTGTGTTCTTTCATTCTCCACCACCCCCGGTGCGGCCCCCAACAGCTGGGATGACAGGCGTGAGCTGCCGCACCCGGCCCCATCTTATTCTTTTTCTCTCACCAGGGACCCCGAATTTGGAACCATAATCACGTTTATTGACATCATGTTAAATTAAGCTTCCCACATTTATTAATAAAAAAAAATCATTAGCCTGGCCTTTTTATTTTAATTTTACTTCATTTAATTTTGTTTTTTTGAGGCAGGGTCTCACTCTGTCACCCAGGCTGGATTGCGGTGGTGCCATCGTGGCTCACCACAGCCTCCACCTTCTAGGCTCAAGCCATCCTCTTGCCTCAGCCTCCTGAGTATCTGGGGATTATAGGTGCACACCATCACACTCAGCTAATTAAATACTTTTTTTTTTTTTTTTTTAATAGCAGAGATGGGGTCTCACCATGTTGTCCAGGCTGGTCTCAAACTTCTGAGCTCAAGTAATCCTGCTTTGGCCTCCCAAAGTGCTGAGATTACAGGGGTAAGCTGCTACACTCAGCTTTTATTTTGTTTACTGAAGGTAAAAACCAGATGATATAAAGTTAACCCTTCCAACTCCTTTTTTTTTTTTTTTTTAAGACAGAGTCTTGCTCTGTTGCCCAGGCTGGAGTGCAGTGGTGCGATCTCAGCTCACTGCCACTTCCACCTCCCGGGTTCAAGCAATTCCCCGGCCTCAGCCTCCCGAGTAGCTGGGATTACAGGCCTGTGCCACCACGCCCAGCTAATTTCCTTGTATTTTAGTAGAGACGGGGTTTCACCATGTTGGCCAAGACGGTCTGGATCTCCTGACCTTGTGATCCACCTGCCTCGGCCTCCCAAAGTGCTGGGATCACAGGCGTGAGCCACCGCGCCCGGCCACTTTAAACTATTTTCAAGGATACAATTCAGCCGTGTTAATCATATACGCATTGTTGTACAACAGATATTTACAACTTCTTCATCTTACGAAACAGAAACTCCGTCCTCATCGAACAAGGGCGCCCCATTCCCCCTCCCCCAGCCCCTGGCACCCACCATTCTACTGTCTGTGTCTATGGATTTGAGTCCTCCAGAGACCTCGTAGGAGTGGGGTCACACAGCGCTTTTGTGTCTGGCTTACCTCGTTACCCACAGGTGAGTCCGTGTGGTGGCCTGTGTCACCATTCCTTCCTTTTTAGGGCTGATTCCTATTTCATTATATGTGAAGGGGTGGCCTGCCCCTCCACACCTGTGGGCGTTTCTCGTCAGGTGGGACGAGAGACTGAGAAAAGAGAGAGACACAGAGACAACACATAGAGAAAGAAAAGTGGGCCCAGGGGACCGGCGCTCAGCATACGGAGGACGCGCTCCGGCACCTGCACCGGTCTCTGAGTTCCCTCAGTATTTATTGATCATTATCTCTTTACCATCCCGGAGAGGGGAGAGGGGGAAGTGGCAGGACAATAGGGTAATAGCGGGTAGAGGGTCAGCAGGAAATCATGCGAACAAAGATCTCTGTGTCATAAATAAGTTTAAGGAAAGGTGCCGTGCCTTGATGTGCAAAAGCAAACATGGCACGCACAGCTCACCTCCAGCCCTAAGGCGGTTTTCTCCTATCGCAGTAAATAGAATATACAATCGGGTTTTTTTTTTTTTTTTTTTTTTTTTTTGAGGCGGAGTCTTGCTCTGTCGCCCAGGCTGGAGTGCAGTGGCACTTTCTCGGCTCACTGCAAGCTCCGCCTCCTGGGTTCACGCCATTCTCCTGCCTCAGCCTCCCGAGTAGCTGGGACTACAGGCGCCCGCCACCTCGCCCGGCTAATTTTTTTGTATTTTTAGTAGAGATGGGGTTTCACCGTGTTAGCCAGGATGGTCTCGATCTCCTGACCTCGTGATCCACCCATCTCGGCCTCCCAAAGTGCTGGGATTACAGGCTTGAGCCACCGCGCCCGGCACAATCGGGTTTTACACCAAGATATTCCATTGCCCAGGAACCAGCAGGAAACCGATGCCTTCCTGTGTCTGCACTGGCAAAGAGGCCTTCCTCTTTTACACTGTTGTTTCACGTGCAGAAATGTTTAACCTCAATGTTGGACCATTTGTCTGTTTTTGTTTTTGTTGCCTGTGCTTGTCTGGGCTTTTGGGAGGCCCGAGGTAAATGGCAGGCGTTCCTGTACCCAGTTCATAACATTGAGCCCAAAACAAAGGAAGCGATACAGTCATGAGCTGGTGTCTCGCCCTGGCAAGAATATGTATAACTTTTGCTGAGAATTTTCATTAATGTTTATTTTGACACAACTTCAGAGTTACATGAAGGCAACGATATGGTACAAAGAATTCCTTCCCATCAGGCATTCATATTCCCCAAAGGCTGGCAGTCCACAGTGGCTTCACTCTGGATCAGAGCCAAGTGGAGGGACCGCTGTGTCTGTGGGCTGGTTTCCTGGGGCTTCTGTAACCAGTGCCCAGAAGCCGGGTGGGTACCTCAACAGGAATTTATCGTCTCCCAGTCTCGGAGGTAGGTGTTGAAGCCCTAACCCCAGTGCCTCAGGATGTGAGTGTACTTGGCCTCATAGTGTTAGAACGAGGCTGTCAAGGTGCGCCCTAAAGCAACTTGGGCACAGGGAAAGACCCTATAAGCACACGCCAGATGGCGTCCACAAGCCGAGGAGACGGGCTTCGGGAGGAACCAGCCCAACTGAGGACACCTTGCTCTCAGACCTCAGCCTCCAGGACTGTGGAAAGGTAGTTTTCAGTGAAGCCCAGCCCTGAACACTCACACAGACGGGTACATTTACTGTCCCTGTTCTTCTGCCAAGGAAACTGAGGCACAGAGAAGTTCAGGGAACTTGACCCATATGAGAGAACCAGTAATGGTCACAACACCGAGGCGACCTCAGTACCGAGGAGGTCTCAGTACCTAGAAGGTCTCAGTACCTAGGAGGTCTCAGCACTGAGGCGACCTCAGTACCTAGGAGGTCTCAGTACCTAGGAGGTCTCAGTACGTAGGAGACCTCAGTACCTAGGAGGTCTCAGCACGTAGGAGGTCTCAGCACCGAGGCGACCTCAGCACCGAGGAGGGCTCAGTACCTAGGAGGTCTCAGCACCGAGGCGACCTCAGTGCCTAGCAGGTCAAACTGAGAGAGGAAGCGTGGAAGGGAGGTTGTCACGGGCTGGGGGACGCGGAGTGGAGAGCTGTTCATGGAAAGATGCGAACGTTCTGCAGCCAGACGGTGGTGCCGGGCGCACCACGCCAATGTGCTCAGTCCCACCGACCTGCGCCCTGAAGACGGCCAGCATGGCCAACTCCGTGTTTTGTCCACTGCGCCACAGGAGGGAACAGAGCCCTAGGGAGAGAGGGAGGGAGAGGAGCGAGCGCGCCGCGCCAGCCCCGCCGCGCAGCCCCGTTCAAGCCCCGCAGCTCGCGCAGGGTCGGGCGTCCCCGGGCCGGCTCCCCCCGGGGCTGGGCCGCTGCGGGAACGGGGTTGGGCCAAGGCAGCCGCGGGTGGCAGCAGCAGGCGCGGTGCGGGCTGGGCCGGGCTCCGTGGGCCCCTCCGCCGCCCTCTCGGTCCGCACGAGGGCCCCACTCGGGCTCGGCCGGGCTCCGGGGACGCGGCCTGGGGTCCGGGGGCCGCGAGCCTCCGCCGCTCCTCAGCCTGGCGGGCCCGGGCGCTGGCTGGAGCCGCAGGTGCGCGTCCGGGGCCGGGCTGGGCGCCGTGGCCCGCTGAGGGGCGCAGAACACGGGCTTCGGCTCCGCGCAGAGGCCGCCAGGGGGCCGCGGTGCGCCTCCCCCCCGGTCCCCTCGGTGCCAGCCCTGCGGCCTCAGGGCAGGCGGACCCACGGCCCTCCACGCCCTCCCTCGCTCGCGTCCTGCCCGGCTGGGAACTCCGTGGGGTCCCGCCCGTTCGGGGACGGGCCGCCGCAGCGCACCAGCTCACCTCTGCGGTCTTCCGTCACTCAGCTCTTCGCCTTCAACCGCTTCGGCTCTTTTCGTCACCCCTCGTTACTCCTCGTTCCTCTCCGTCACTTTCCGTCATCTCCGATTAGGCTCGGCCTGCTACAGCTCACCAGTTCGCCTTCCTCTTGGTCGCCCTCGGATAATTTCCGTGACACTTCGTCAGTATCCGTCAGTCCCCGTCCCTGTCCGTCCATTCTCGCCACTTTCCGTCGCTCTCCGCCGCCCTTCGGCTCCGCTCGGCTCTTCTCCGTCAGGCATCGTCTACCTTCGTCACTCTCCGTCGCTCTCCGTCGCTCTTCGTCGCTCTCCGTCACTCCATTCATTCTCCGTCACTTTCCGTCACTATCCGTCAGGCATCGTCTACCTTCGTCACTCTCCGTCACTCCCCGTCACTCTCCGTTCATTCTCCGTCACTCTCCGTCAGGCATCGTCGACCTTCGTCACTCTCCGTTATTCTCCGTCATTCTCCGTCAGGAATCGTCTACCTTCGTCACTCTCCGTCGCTCCCCGTCACTCTCCGTCGCTCCCCGTCGCTCTCCGTTCATTCTCCGTCACTCTGCGTCACACTCCGTCAGGCATCGTCTATCTTCGTCACTCTCCGTCACTCCCCGTCGCTCCCCGTCACTCTCCGTTTCTCCGTCACTCTCCATTCATTCTCCGTCACTTCGTCAGGCATCGTCGACCTCGTCACTCGCCCGTCACTCTCCGTCGCTCTCCGTCACCATTCATTCTCCTTCCGTCACTTCGTCAGGCATCGTCTACCTTCGTCACCCTCCGTCACTCCCCGTCACTCCGTTCATTCTCCGTCACTTCCGTCAGGCATCGTCGACCTTCGTCACTTCCGTTATTCTCGTCATTCTCCGTCAGGAATCGTCTACCTTCGTCACTTCTCCGTCGCTCCCCGTCACTTCGTCGCTCCCGTCGCTCTCCGTTCATTCTCCGTCACTTGCGTCACACTCCGTCAGGCATCGCTCCATTTTCGTCACTCTCCGTCACCCCCCCGTCGCTCCCGTCACTTCTCCGTTCATTCTCCGTTATTCTCCGTCACTCCATTCATTCTCCCTCACTTCGTCAGGCATCTACCTTCGTCACTCTCCGCCGCTCCCCTTCGCTCCCCTGCTCGGCCTCCGTCACTTCCGGGTCACCTCCGTCAGGCACGTCTACCTTCGTCACTGTCCGTCGCTCTCCGCTTCACTCTCCGTCTATTCTCCGTCACTCTTCCGTCAGGCATCGTCTACCTTCGCTACTCTCCGCCGCTTCCTTCGCCTTCCTCGTTCTTTCTCCTCCGTCACAGGCATCATCTACCTCGTCACTTCCCACATCTCTTCGTCGCCTCCCCGTAGCTCATCGCTTTCCCCGTTCACTAAGTCACTCGTTCATTCTCCATCGGGCTCTCCGTCACTAGGCATCGCTGACCTTCGCTACTTTCCGTCACTTCGTTCATTCTCCGTCACCGCCAGACATCGTCTACCTTCGTCACTCGTCGCTTCCCGTCGCCCCTGCCGCTCTCCATTCACTCTCCGTCACTTCACAGGCATCGCCGCTGACCTTCGCCACTTCCGCCGCTACCCTCGTCACCGCTCGTCACTTCCGTTCATTCTCCTGTTATTCTCCGTCACTTCCATTCATTCTCCTCACTTCTCCGTCAGGCACGTCTACCTTCATTACCGCTGCCTCTTCGCTCCCCTGTTCATTCTCCGTCACTCTCCGTCACCCTCCTCCGCTGTGTATCGTCTACCTTCGTCACTGTCTCCGTCGCCTCTGCTACCTGGGTTCATTCTCCGCCACCTCCGCCAGGCATCGTCTACCTTCTGTCACTCTTTTGGCAGTCACTTCCCACGCTTCTCCGCTCAATACTCCGTCACTCTCCGTCATTCTCCGTCACTTCTCTCGCTTCATTTTCTCCGTCACTTCCGTCACTTCTCCGCCTTTCTCCTCACTTTCCATCAGGCATCGCTTCACTCGTCACTTCCGTCGCTTCCATTCATTCTCCGTCACTTCCGTCAGGGCATTGCCCACTCGCCGCTTCCCTGTCGCCTCGCCGCCTCCTCCATCGCCCCGCTTCATTCTCACACACTCTGTCACTCCTCCGCAGGCATCGTCTACCTTCGTCACTTCGTCTTCCGCCACTTCCGTTCATTCCGTCACTTCCCGTTCATTCTCTTCCTGCCACTTTCCGTCACTCAGCATCGCTCTACCTTCGTCACTCCCGTCGCTCTCCGTCACTCGTTCATTCTCCCGTCACTCTCCGTTCATTCTCCGTCACTTTCCGCTCAATCATCACACTCTCCGTCGCTCTCCGTCAGGCATCGTCTACCTTCGTCACTCTCCGTCACTCTCAGGCTGCTCCCTTCCCCGCACGCCGGCTGCAGAAAGCCTCAAGGCCTTTGCCTGCTGTAGCCCTGTTGGGGTCCGTGCCAGGGGTGGTGGAGAATGAAAGAACACATAAAAGACAAAGACACACAGAGAACATGGCGGCCGCGCTCAGAGCCTCCGCCTCACTTTATTTATACTCCATAAACCCCACGTCAGCAGAAAGAATGCAATGCAAAACAAACTTTCTTTTCCCAGATGTAACCTTCTACTCAGTTCTTTGTTTCTATGCTCTTCTTTATCTGCCCGCCTTCTTGGCGCCTACGGGAGTTCATTAAAAGTTCAATTGGAGATACTGTCCTAGAGCCCTATCTATTCTCAGCATACTGT